GGGTCTTGGAGCCCTGCTGGGGCCAGGGACAGCTCCTGTTCCTGCAGCCTCGAAGGCTTCCTGTGGCCCTGGGGAGCACTGACTGAGGAGAGGACAAGTGGGTTTAATTAGGGAGCTTAACAGGATGCCCACGAGGCTGATGATGCTGCAGCCGGAAGGAGGGAAAGACACAGGACACATCTGATGCCCAGGCAGGCAGGAGCATGAGCGTCTCAGAGCAAGGAGCAAGGGGGGCAGTGCTGACGTCCGGCCTCCAGTGCCTGGCAGTGTGTAGGGGCCCAGGACTCCTTTGTTGAATGAATCCATCGTGTGACACAGGGAACATGCACTTACATGTTTCTTCCTTAGTTGCTTCTGAGAGGCAAACAACAGCCAATTTCCTCAGCACCCTCCAAAAAAGCCCGGAGAGGTAGACAGGTAGAGGTTAATCATGCAGAGGTTAACTGCTACAATAGGTAGACTCTTTGGACTGTGAGACCCAGGGCCATCACTATCACTAGTCTATGGGGCACCTTTATAGAACTTAATAAAGACACCGGTCTCTCAAAGTACTTTTTTCCTCCATCTGCTAGGGGAACAAATGTTATAATGAATACACAGATCTCCAGTGGACCATGTGAATAATTTTCCTAGAATTTTGCAGTGTACAATTTGTACCACTGTCCATGGCAGCCCTGCAGGTGAAGAATACAGTGGAAGGGCACCGGCGCCAGCTATAGAGTGGTATGGAATCAGAGAGGGTACGGTCATAAAAGAAGTGAAGTACTGATGACGTGCTGCAATGTGGGTGAACCCCAAAAACATGCTAAGTGAAAGAAGCCAGGCACAAAAGACCTCACATTCTCTGACTCCATTTATGGGAAGTGTGTAGAACAGGTAAATCCATAGAGACGGAAAGCAGACAGGCTGTTACCCAGGCCTAAAGGGGAGCAGGAAATGGGGTACCAGATTTTATTTGGGGACAACAAAATACTGTGCAGCTGGAAGGAGGTAGTATTTGTGTGGTGTTGCAAATGCACTAAATGCACTGTGTCAGTTACTTTGAGATTGTTAAGGCTGTGTGTGTGTGTGTGTGAATTTCACTTCTATGAAGAAGGAGCGGAAGGGGCAGGAGCAGGGCAGGAGCAGTGGCCTGTGCCCCTGTGCACCAGGGAAGCAGAGGCTCGGCAGGAGAGCTCAGCCCTGGCGTCAGGCGCAGCTGGCGCGGAAGGGCGCCAGGGCCTGGGGTGCAGCATTTCCAGTGCCCCTTCTGGTGCCCTGCTCTCACCCCCACCCGGCCCTGCTGCCTGCGACCAGCCCGGCTCTTCCCACGCTGTGTTCCCAGCACGGAGCCTGCCCCTCCCGGACCGGGACCTCTGACCCTGTAAATCCCTGGGCTCTGGGGGCTGCTGGGATCCCTGCCTCGCTCCGCTCCAGGACAGATGAGCCGATAGCCCTGGGTCCCGCCTCCGCGTTCCCAGCCAGCTTGGTGCAGCCGCGTGGGCGGCCCGGCCCCCCAGTCCTGCCCCTCTGCCAGCCCTGCCCCAATCCCCAGACTTGGTGCTCAGGGGTGATTTCCCCTCTAGGTGGGAAGGGAAGACACAGGTCTACATCCTTCAGTTCCAAAGTGAGCAACTGGATTGGGGGGCAGTGTAAGGGGGTACAGTGCCCTGTCTCCCGAGTGTGTGTGGGGTTTACAGTTAAGGAAGCACCAGCATGCACAGCTAAGTTATCTGAATGCAGTCGTGAAATCGAGGTGTTTGAAGTCATGCCGGCCCTGGGTTCGAGTCCCAGCCTACCGCTTCCTAGCTGGGTGAGTGATTATATTTGTTTCCTGTGGCTGCTATAACAAATGACCTCTAATTTGGTGCCTTTAAGACAATAGGAGTCCATTCTGTCAGTTTGGAAACCGGAAGTCTGAATTACAGGTGTTGACCAGATTGACTCTGGAGGAGGCTGTGAGGGCGAATCTGTCCTGTGTCCCCCTCCCTCACCCCATCCCAGGGCGGTGGCCCTGAGGTCCTTGAGGACGAATCACCCGGTCTCTGCCCCCTCTTCCCAAGACTTCTCCCCTCTGTCTCTCATCCCTCTCTCTTGCTGAAAAAGAAGCATCGCAGTCCCGGACGTAGGTCCTGCCCTAACCAAGAGACTGCACCTTCAAACCCCTGCTTCAGTTACGTCCCCAAGACCCTTATTCTGTGTAACAACACCTTCTGAGGTTCCTACTTGACACGTCCCTTGGGGGCCACGCTTCACCCCACTGCGTGACTTAGGCAAGTCACTCGTTCCTGAGCTTTGTTCTCCTTCCGTGCCAGGGTGAGCAGAGCCGGTGCCCACTCCAGGGGGCTGAGAGAGAAGAGAAGCAGTTCTGGGGGCCCAGGTGTAGTGAGGTCTCTGCCACCCATGGGAGGTTGGTGCAGCTGTTGTGTTTTCTTTTCTAAACTTAGGGTCACGCCGGTTTCATCAACAACGATGTTGGAGGTGAGTGTAGTGATGCTGGCCTGTGATCCCAGTGCTCTGGAGGCCAGGGCAGAGGGATCTCAAGTTTGAGTCCTACCTGGGCGACTTACTGGTGTAGCAAAACCCTGTCTAAACAAAATAAATGGGCTGGCAAATGAACAATGCTGGCTGCTTGACGGGCTGAGGGCCGAGTTGTATATTTTACATATTCATGGCACAAGCGAAACCAGAACAGAAGTAGATGAGGCCATAGTGGAGCTCCCTCCTGCCCTCACTGCCAGTCGTCTGTGCAGGGTCAGCCCCTGTGGGCAGCACCCCGAGTGGCTTTGCAGGTAGGGGGTCCACACCTTCAAATGGGTGACTTAGAATTTTCCACTTCACAGTGGTGCAGCCATGCAGGAGAACCTGTGCTTCAAATGTGGAATTCGGATCTTCTCCCAGCCACTAGCAGTCAGTCCGGACCTCCCTCAGGACCCTGGGCACGAGCAGTGACCTGCAGCTCCCAGGCAGTCCTCAAGGGAAACAGTTGATGCTGTCCAGCATGCTGTGTGGCTGAGCTGGGGTGCTGGGTAGGCTAGATGATTCAAACGATGTTTGATTTATGTCATTTTCAACTTGCAATGGGTCTATCAGGATGTAACCTTGTCGTGTCATCTTTCTATTTTTATTTTTATTTTTTGTGGTAGTGGGGATTTGACCTGGAAACTTTCACTGAGCTACATCCCTAGTGTTCTTCTGAGATTAGGATCTTGCTAAGTCACTAAGTTGCCCAGGCTGGGTTCTAACTTTCTGTCCTCCTGCCTTGGCCCCCAAACTGCTGGGATTACAGGCCTGTATCATGGTGCCTGACTTGTATCCCTCGTAAAACATGAGGCATGGTACTATTCCACTTGTCCCTTTATTTTTAATGTGTCTTAGAGATTATTCTATATCAGGCTGTAACAATCTACTTTCCTTTTCCTCCCTCCCTGCCTGAGTTTCTCCTTTCTTTTCATTTTTGTGACACAAAGGGTAGAACCCAGGGCCTGTGCAAGCTGGACGAGCACTCCACCACTGAGCTAGCTACCCCTGCTCCCTGCCTCATTCTTTTAAGTGGCTGACAAATGCATCATGGTGTGGCATAGAGGAATTCAAACACCAGGCCTGGTTATCCCTGCTTGTGAAGGGCTTGTTCCCAGTCTTTGTCTACTGCACAGACACCATGGCAGTGAACAACGTGCAGGTGTGTCTTGGGCACACAGATGGCATTTCTGATGCACCCCTGAGTGGGTATGGAGGGGCTGGGGAAATCCTTGCAGCAGCATAGGGATTTTAGGCCTGGCCAGCATTGGTGCAGCTCAAATGGAGGACAGAATCATGAGCTGATGGTAAAATCCGGTGCCCATGGAAGTTCTCACCCTTTGCCCCACCCAATCCTTGGGCCCTACTTCCTGCAGGGGCCACCCTAGGCCCTAGGTTCTACTCCTAGCACCACAAAAATAAAAAGAAAGGCAGGAACAAAGGGAAGAAGAGGGGAAAGCAAGGTAGATTGTTAAGGTGTGATTCAGAGCAATCTCTAAGATACATTAACCTAAAGATAAAGGGCTAGGTCACTCCTCCACCTCTCCATGGGGTCACTGCTGTCCTCTGTGCCCCGAGGGATAGACATGGCCCCCTTCATTCCTACCCTGCCTCCTGTCCATCCTTCATTCTTCCCTTTCTTTCTTCCATCCACCCATCTTCCCATGCATTATCTCCCATCCATGCTTTTATTCATCATCCCATCCTCTACCCTCCCATCCATCCATCTGTCCTCGTTCATTCAAAAAAACATAACTAAGCACCTAACACCTGCCAGGTGCTGGAGATGTGGTGTTAGAACGACCAGGGACGTCTCTGAAGTGTCCCTCTCAGCAGACACTGGCTGGGGTGCCTTAGAGAGGAAGAGGATTTATGGAGGAGCATCAGGGAGCTGGCAGATGGGGTGGGACGACTGGGGTGCCAGCCCCCCAAATGACATAATCTGGGGTTTCCTGGCCCCTGGGACAGGGGGTGAGGTACCGCAGGACTCTGTCTACCTGCTGGTTCACGACTTGACTGAGCTCAGAGTTTTGGGCCAGAGAGGCAGATCAGTGCCAGAGGCACATGCTTGTCTCTTCTGGGGACCAAGGGGGGCCCCCAAGACTGGATGTGACAGCAGCGAGGATATCCTGGCAACAGAGTATATGATTCTGCCTCCTGGAAGGAGAGGGAGGCTGCTGATGTCCACCACCACGTTAGACAAGGAGCTGCAGCCTGGAGAAGTGTGATGTTGGCCCGTGGGAGGGAATTCTGTCCGGACCCAAAGTCTTTGTCCTGTCCACGACCTAGTCTGGCAGGGGGAGGCTCTCTGGGACCCCAGAGTCGTCCAGGCTGATGTGCACAGCCTCTGCAGCTGCCCCCTGGCTTTGGTCCTGCCCCGTGCCTGCCCACTCTCGGTGGCCGAGTGCAGGGCTGAAGGATAAGAGGCCAGGGAGGGCAGCATCCAGATCCTTGGTGCAGAGCTCCCTTCAACTCACAGCTGTTTTCCTTTCTATTCGCAGATCGCGAGGACCAGTCTATTCTGTGCACGTAAGTGGAGCTGCTCTTCACCCTGTCTGTCTTGGGGCGAGAGCCAGTGTGTTCAGGGATCTGCGCGGGCGAGGAGCTTTGATTTGTTCACAGGTGCTCAAAGCGGATACTCACCGAACACCACAGTAGAAGTTCTCTGTCCGAAGCAGGCAGCCCTGAACTCTCACGCCTTGGGATCGCATTTGGTGTTGAAATCTGAGCCTGCTTTCTCCCCTTATAAGTGCTTTGCTAGCCTTCCTCCAGAATGCTCCTCACTGCAATCTCCCAGGGTGGGAAAGACAGACTCACTCTGCGCCGCCCCGTGTACCAGGACCCACCAGCGCCTGCTAGCTCTGGGGGTCCTGCAGTGGCGAAGGTGCATAAGAATCTCAGATGGTGATAGAGGCCTGGAGGACCTTGAGCGGTACTGGGAGAAGACTTAGATAACTTCTGATAAGTTTGGGGTTGAACTATATAGAAAATTGGGAAATAATAAAGCCACGACTAATTCTGGGGAAGCACAGATGGGCGGGAAGCAGGAAACTCAGTGGGCTCGGGGTCCTGGATGTGCAGTGTTTACGTCAGTGTCGTAAAGCCAAGTGGTTGTGTGCACGTCACCGGAGCAACCGCCTTCGAGGCTCACACCGGAGGGTCTGCGTATGCAGATTCAACCACTTGCAGGCTGAAGGCACTTAAAACAACTTATGTCTCAGTGAACATATTTAGACTTCTTTCCATGGCATTATTCCCTGAAAATAAATAACTGCATACATAACGTGGCATTTACATGGTGTGGGTATTAGAAGGAACATAGAGATGGTTTAAAGTGCATGGGAGGATTGTGTAGGTTATGTGCAAATACTAACACATTTTATGTAAGGCCCTTGAGCTTCTGAAGATTGGGGTGTCTTCGGGGGTGCAAGAGCCAGTCACCCTGGGAGCTAAAGGACAGCTGCATATTTGACCAAACCGGCTCTGTGAGGAAGGGGAGAGGGCCGCGTGGGAAGCTCATCCTCCCTGACCGGAATCTGTATTGGATGCTTACCAGTGAAGAGACAAGAACCCAACACCACAGAAGAAGTTAGTGGTCTAGCGCTGCTAGATCTGTGGTGCCCACACCAGGACCAGCATCGTGTCCTGGGCTGTGAATCCCTCCTAAGCTAGAGAAGTCACAGTCTGGGGATCAGGACATGGGCGACTTGGGGGAGAGGGCCACTTTTCTGCCAACCACAGGGAATCCCACGCCATCTGCCCAGATGCCAAGGTAGATACTCCTGCTCAGCGAGGGCACTCTGTGTGACCCAGGGGAGCGGGGAGAGAGTGCCTGACGGCAGACCACCTCTCTGAGCTGAGCGTGGGTGGGTTTGAGGATGAAGAAGGCACCGTCATCACCCCGAGGCCCATGCCGTCCCAGCTACTGCTTCCTGCAGAATGCTGCTGTCCCGTGGGCCTGCTGTGACGGTGGCTGTGGAGTATCTGACACACAGTCAGTGCACGGAGGAGCTGAACTTTTATTTAAGTTGAGAGCCTCCGACAGCTCCTGCTTAGATGGAGGAGCTGCAAGGCATCCTCACCGGGGTCCACTCTGGCTCCCTGGCCTCTCCCTCGCCCAGGGTCTGTCACTGGCCTGGCCTCTAAACTCCCTGCCCCAGCCCCGACCAGGCCCCATTTGTCATTCGGTAAACATTCACTGTGAGAATATCCACCCACCACTGAGTCATAAATACCACCCGTGTGGTGTGAGAAAGTCACTCCCATCACTGGCCAGCTGCAAGTGCTCAGAAACAAGTCACCGTGCCTCTCTAAGCCTGAGTCTACCTACCTGTAAAGTGGGACAGCCGGCACCCCCTTGGGTTCTGGAGGACCGAGTCCCTGCCTGTGAAGGACTGGGAGAAACACCAGCACCTTAGGATAAGTGCTGTGCAGGGCCCAGTGCTGGCATTGGCAGCAGTGGTGTTTAATCTCTCCTGTAATCCAGACTCCTTCTTGCAGTTTGCATTTTCGTTCCACTCACTCTAAAGCCTTATTGCCCTACAGAAATGGTTCCCCGTAGCCATAGAAGAAAATCCAGGTTTCAGAGGCCCCCGTGACCTGGCCCTGCCTTCCTGGGCCTGGACCCGTGCGCAGTACATAGGTGTTCGCTGTTGGATGGGAAATCCCAGACGCCCGGTCACCCCTGCAGCACCACAGCTCAATTCTCATTCACTTGTCTTCCCGCTGTCAAAATCAGCAGACTTGAGACCTGCAGGTTAACAGGAGCTGGCAGTGCATGGTCAGGAAGAGCGGGTTGGGACCAGCAGTCAGCTGCAGGTGGCCAGGGCCGGGAACTGGGTGACTCACATGCTGACGGGAGCTATGCTTTATCTAGCATCTGGTTCATCTGGGATTAGGAAGCTGGGGGTGCTGAGAGGGTGGAGGGGCCCCAGGATGACACCACCCTGTGTTCAGAGAGAGCACGGCGCTGGGGTGCACTGGGCTGTAGGGAGGGCTTTATGCTTTAATCTACAAGGACCAGAAGGCACTGAGGAACTCAAACCAGGCCTTGACAAACCAAGACCAGAGGGCCAAATCCACCTCCCTTTTGTAAATAAAGCTTTATTGGAACGCACATGAATGCACACATTGGCTTTCCTGCTAGACAGCAGAATGGAGTGGACATGACATAGCACGTGTCCCAGAGGCCTGAAATATGTACCATCTGGATCTTTGCTGACTCTGAGGTGAACAGTGGAAAAATGGGATATAGTTTCTATTTTATGAGAGGATGATGGTGTAGGTCATGATACAAATCAAATGTTTGTGCCTCAGAGAAAAAGTAGTTAAAAAAATAATCACAGCTAGCAGTATTATGTACTGGGCAATATTCTAACTTTTTTATATGTGTGTTCATTAAATCTGCCTATCAGTTATACAAAGTGATTTGTGTCTGCTCGAGACAATCTGCAAGACAGAGGCAATGTGTAACTGGGCTTTGCAGGGTGTGTAGGAGTTGGATGGCACCAGCACTAGAGGGCACTACTAGCAGGCAGCAGGGGTGGGAGCCACATGAATATCGGGGACGGAACAGCTTTTCACACCAAGAAAGGTGCATGCGCAGCTGGGCCAGTGATGTTGTGCTTGCTTGCTCTCTTCTCTTCTCTTCCTCTAGGCCTTGGCAGAGAAGATCCTGTGTCCATTGCCTAATTAGGAAGCAGAGTAGAGGCTGTGCTGGCGTCGGTGGCACTGGTTCAGCACCAGCAACCTTGGGCTGACCTTGGGGTAGACGAACTCTTGTGCAGACTTAAAAAATCTCTTATATTTTAGAATATGAAATGAGCTCAGAAAATGGGAGGGTTTAGGCAAAGAAAGGAAACATGGAGGAGAACGAAGACTGAGAGAATCTTCAGGGGACCCCTGTGCTCCCTTGGCACCTAGAACGGGGCTCTGGGGCTGTCTGGAGACCCCAAGTGAAGCACTCCCACCATGGTGAGCTCTGGTGGCCAGAAGAGGTAGCAGGCCAAGAAGTCTACCTTGGTCCAAAATCTACCTACGTATTCTAGGAGTATTCTTTTGATAGACAGTGCCTGGCTGATTGAACCTATCAGTCATGTCCACCTTAGCATAAGTTATTTCAAGTTTTTCTTTTTGCTATATAAATGAGACCATTAGCTGACTGCCTGATATTCAGGGGGATTCCCCAGAGATTGAGGGCTTGGGATAATCACTCCTTTTTTTCTGTGAGGAAAGCTTAGGTCCTCCTACTCTGAGGATCTTTGAATACTGCTCTTTGCCTGGCCTCTCCATTTCTAACTATGCTAATGGTGCTTTAAAAGCGGTCAGTTCCAAACAGACCTAAGTTTCGCCCTTGCACTGAAACTCAGCTTTTTTTCTCTCTCATTCTTTCTCATCTGAATCCTTTTCCTCATCCTCTTTGAAGAATTGATTGAGTATTCGACCTGGGTCTGAGGCTCAGCTCAGCCCCTCCTGGCCATGTGTCTTTGGGCAAGTGACCCCATCCAAGGAGCCTTAGTTTCCCCCTGGGGAATGGCAGTAACAATGCCATCGCTTTGCTTGGCTCTGCAGTGAGCCCTGGGAACACCTGTGTGGATTCCCTGGGGTCACTGTCCCCATGTCATTGTCTCCCTGTCTTTCAGAGGTGAGTCTGGAGCCGGCAAAACAGAAAACACCAAGAAGGTCATCCAGTACCTGGCTGTGGTGGCCTCGTCACACAAGGGCAAGAAGGACACCAGCATCACGGTGAGTGTGGGTCCCCAGGGTGACCTGGCTTGGTGAGCAAGCTCCCGATCGACCTAATATCAAGAGGACCCGGGGCAGGACATGAGCCTCGCACCACTGCCTGGCCCCTGACAGTGCAGGAGGGCTTGACACCCATGTGACCAAGTGACCAGCCAAGCACTTCCTGTCCAGCCAAACGCAATCCCCAGGCTGAGGAGTGAGCCTTCCCATGGCCTCATGGCAGGGCTTCTCAGCAGAGGCCATGTGGGCCAAGTAATTCTGTCACATGGGCTGTGCTGTGCATCCCTGGCCTCCACCCACTAGATGGCAGCATGCGCCCCGTTAAAAGTGTGTCCAGGCCCTGACTGCTGTCCCCAGGGGTGGGGCCCGGTCATGCCCTATTAGGAAGCCCTCCCTTCAGTGAATCCCTGTGGACTCCCTAAGCTGTGGTACACTTTGGATTTGCTCTTTTCTGTATGTCCCTTTCCCATGGGACAAGAGGACGTTGAAGTCACCTAAGCAGTGGCTTCTGTGACTGTGAACTGAGCCCTTCCTGTGTGCCACACACCGCAGGGATGGGGCCAGGAATGGGAGGCTGTCCCCGTGTCCCCTGAGCTTCAGAACAAGCGGAAGGGAGAGTAACCCTGAAAGGGACTCACAGTGACCCCGTGGGAATGAGGGTTTGCAAGGAAGGAAAAGCAGGTCTCCAGAGCCCCTCCTCTCTTCCTGGGTTTGCCCTGCCTCGTCTGTCCCAGAGGATGTGGCGTGGCATCCCTGCTTCTGCCACCCTGGCCCCTGCCTCAGTCCCTGAGAGGTGACTGCGGTCACAGTGCCAGCTCGCCTGCAGGCCCTTGGAGACTGGGGGCAGCAGCCCTAGCTTCAGGGACTTTCCTTCCTCATCAGAGGTCGGGCCTTGGCAAGCTGGTTTTCAGGCAGCGTGAAACATCTGGGAACAGATGGCCCCACTGTGTGTCAGCAGCTTCTCGCTGCCCCCCGCCCCCATGTAGTAACAATATAAGATGATCGGTACTGCTGATGGCTGATCTTCCTCGGGGCCCGCTCTGGGCCCTGTATGTGAATACGCTTCAGCCGTGATGTGGCCGAATGCTGTGTGAAAACGTCCCCCTGGTCCCTTGTATTACAAAAACCCTTTGAGATTTCTGGATCTCTAAGAAATTAGAAGAGGGAGGGACAAGACAAAAGAAAGGGAAATGGAGCCTGTGCTTTCTGCGGTGCTCAGGGAGTTGGGCATTTGGTGGGAGGGTGAAGCCGTGTGTCCCAGTCCCCGATGGGGGTTGCTGGAAATAACACTGACACTTGTTTTGTACCGTACGGTTCGACCGCAGCAAGGCCCATCTTTTGCCTACGTGAGTAATGAGAGTGTGTTGCTGGTGTGTGCGGGAGGCACAGAGTGGACTTAGATCTATCTGCATGCTCCTGTCGCACCCTGGGGCCCCCAGCCAGTGGTAGATCAGGGCAGGCCCCTGAGTTTCACACCCCACGTCAACAACTACACCCAGATTCCATCTTGTGGATGTCTGACACCAGGGTGGGGTGTGGGGTGCGTTTGCCACCCACAGGACCCCCACTGGAATCCCATGTCGGTCTCCCCAGTCCCGGATGAGCCCCCTCATCCTTCCCACCACCGTGGCCACCCCCAGTGCCCTGACTGGAATGCCCCAGTGACATTGTCCCGTCTGGTTGAGCGGTTTAGGGCTGTCAGGCCCCAAAGCTTCCCTGGCTGGACTGACATCGTGGCATGCCTCCCTCCCTCTCCTGTCCCCATCCCGAGTCCCTGCCCTGCCCCATGCACCCGTGTGTGTCCCGTGCATGCGTGTGCAGTGTGTGTGTGTGTCTTCTGCATGCCGGGTGCTCAGAGCAGTCATAGGCTCACGGCTTCGGTGGCACGGTAAGGCCCCAGCTACGCCACACGACCTGGTCTGCAAGTGTAAACTCGTCTCTAACGCAGAGCTTGGAGGGCAGCTGGCACACGGGTCCCAGCCTGGGGAGACTCCCAGGGGCCTGCTATGGCACCTAGCAAGAGCACACTCGAGGAAGACGCTGGCAGCAGCACTGTTGCTCACAGGAGAGTTGGGACCTTATATGATAGCCAGTGTTGTCACCTTGGCTGTCACTCTGGGCAGTGGCCTCATCAGTATTAAGTGAGGATGTCTACAGCTCTTCTGTGATGGCCATTCGACCCCACCTACTAGAATCCTCATTGTAGAGAAGGAGACTTTCAGGGAGACAGTGGAACCTCAAAGTGTGGACAGAGGGGTTCCTTTCGTCTTTTCGGGCTACCAAGGAAAAACCCATGATGCTCCTTGCTGGCTTCCAACATCACACGATTCTGGTTGCGGCCGGGAGTTCCATGGAGACAAGGCTTTCTCCTGGGCTCTGGGAGCAAAGGAGGAGGCGTTCAAATAAATGCGCAGAGGAAGTAGGAGCCTCCGGCCCAGTCCACTGGGGCAGCTCCTCCCACTACCACGGGAGCAGGCCAGGCCCACTCTTTTCCCTGTTGGGTGGCCTCCTGCTACCTTCTGCATAGCCATCTGCTGCCTGAAAGGGGAAAAAAAGACAAGGAAAAGGGGAGTGAGGAGAAACCCTGAGATCCTTCCTCTTCCTTAGCTCCAGCAGCTGCTGCCTCATACCAGGGCTGGGCAGAGGGCAGCTCACCACTTTCCAGGCTTGCCTTCCCTGTTGGCCCTTCCCGCCACGGTTAATCACGTGACTGCGTCTGTGCACAGGACCCGAGCAGAGGGGTTGGGGGCTGTGTTCTGTCTCAGCTGCATTTAACCTGATGAATGGAGCCCGGGCAACTTGCTTCGCAGCTTTGTTCTGCAGTCAGTTGAGAGGACCCCGAGTGGGTTTTGCTGCTCTCTTAGTTGCTGTCCGTAAGAGGCGTCAGAAAAGCAGACCAAGGAAACTACAACTTTGAGAAGTCACATGAAGTAATCCGGAGGATTACAGTCACTTGGCCTGAGGAAGGCTGCTTATTAAACACGAGCTGTAGCAAAATCACACGTACAGCAAGACAGGCTGTGCACCGGCCAACTCCAGGGCTACCATTCACTACAATATAAATGACACCCCCAGTGTTTTGCAGTGTTTCAGCGGCAGTGACGTTACAAAAGCGAGCAGACCCTTGTCTTGGAAAGAGCAGTTTTCCTAGGGAATAACGTCCTAGCTCTCAGAAAGCTCCGCCTGAGCACCCAGTAAACTTCAAAGTTGTCGGCAGTGTCTAACGGGTGGGCGTGGAAGATAGGAGAAAAGTCCTGGGTCAAGGGTGGAGCCTGTCTAGTTCGCTCTGAACTGTTAGGGCCCGGGTTGTTCCTCTAATAATTAGATGTGGATGAATTTTAGGGAGAGCTGGAAAAACAGCTTCTACAAGCAAACCCCATTCTGGAGGCTTTCGGCAATGCCAAAACAGTGAAGAACGATAACTCCTCTCGATTCGTAAGTAGCAGAGCCACGCGGGTGGCTTTCTGGGAAAGATTTGGGTCCCCTAGTGTCACCTCCTGCCTGAGAATGCAGGGGGTCTGTGTGCTGGGGAAGCCAAGCCTGAAGGAAGAGGTGGATGTCACCGGAGTTTTCTCCATCCTGTCCTGCAGGTCCAGTCTCCCACGAGTTCCTGCCATTCATCCATTCACCAATTACCCACCGAATGTCTGCTGTGTGTCAAGCACTGGTCTGCATTTCACATTCATAGTTAATTCCATAAACAGATATGGAGCACCTGCTATGTGCTAGACACGTATATCCAGTGCTCATTCATTCAGGAAAGCACAAATTGAGCTACAGCCCCAGTTCTTTTTTTTTTTTTAGTTTGAGACAGAGAGTCTCACTAAGTCCCCCTGGCTGGGCTTGAACTTGAAATCTGCTTTAGCCTCCCAGAGTGTGAAGACTATAGGCATGCAGTGCCAAGCTTACATTTCATGTTTGTTCTACTTTTTAACCTAAAACAGTTACGTTCTAGGTCTAGGTAGTTAGAAACAAGCTTTCCACCTTCATGAATGTCAAGCAGAGCATTCACAGGGCACAGAGGAGGTGGACATGCTTGGTGTCTTGGACTCCAGGTCACTGTGGGGCACCCAAAGCATTATGGGACAAGGCAAATCGTCACCTCCCAGGTTCCTAAAATCCCTGTAGTGGAAGTGCCACCTCCACCGGGGAGCTCTGCGTTTAGATGGAGCAATGGATCTGGCACATCATCCCTGAGAGCAAATTCAAGGTTAACTCTTAAAAAACATGCCTGCTCACTGGTGGCCCCTCCTTGGGAAGCAGGGAGGGCAGCCGCTGTCCTGGGCCCCACCAGCAGCTCCCTGTTGCAGTACCTCCAGTGTGGCTGCCCACAGTCACTCTGTCTCATTCCCGATTAGGAAAGTGTGATAGTTTCATGGAACCCAAGCCCGCCCAGGGGTGGGGGGGGGCGTATGCCCACCCAGGGCTACCACTCACTTGACAGTCGTGGTGGGGAAGAGCGTGTGACCATTTGTCACCTGCTGAGAAAGGAGGAGCAGGGGCTGAGTCACAGGGAGGGCTGGAGTCATGTGCTCCACTGTGGGCCTCACTGTGCCTGGGGCAGGAGATCAGCTGTCCCCTTCAAGGCAGGTCTCAGATGAGGCCAGGGATACAGCACCGTCCTGCCCGTGGGACAGCCAGGCAGGGCTTGCCAGGACAGGAGCTGGTTACCCCACAGAGGGATAATGCCGGAAGCAGCAGGTGTCTGGGCAGGAAGTGGGCAGGAGGGAGCTTCTAGCCACTGGGTGCCTTTCCAGCTGAGCCCTGAGGATCAGTGTCACGCAGGGTTACTCAGTCCCTCTCAGCCTCTGTTTTCCCACCTTTAAATGGGGACAGCCGTGCTGGACTTGGAGCTCTTACGAAAGCCCAACACGAGGGACCTGACAGGGCACTGTGCAGTCCCCGTGTCTCCATCAGGCCTGGGACCATCCCAGCTTAGCATGGACAGGCGGACCTGTGAGGCTCTGCGTGTCAGCAGGAGTCTCCCCACACCAGCCGAAGTGCCCCCGACATCTCCCTCCCCACGGCCCCTAGTGGGGCTGAGGCTGAGTGGAGCTGGCTGCCCCCTGACCTTGTCCCCCATCCACAGGGCAAGTTCATCCGCATCAATTTCGACGTCACCGGCTACATCGTGGGAGCCAACATCGAGACGTGTATCCTTTGCAGAGCCTGGGCCACATCGACTTCCTCCTGCCCAGGGCTGAGGGCACCCAGAACAGAAGGGCACAGAACCCCCTCTCCTGCCTCAGGCACTTGAGTTTCTTCCTGAACAGTCTGTGTGCTTGTTTTCCCTGCACTGCGGGCCCTGGGATGCAGGTTACATCAATGTTTGCACCCAACCAGCTTTTTTGATTTTGGATATCGATTTCTCTCTGGCTGGGGGGACCTTGGGCCAGTTACTGAGCCTCTCTCTGCCTATCAGTGAAATGGGTGTCATGGTGGGACCTGTCTCACAGAGCCATTGTGAGAATAAGTGAAGTGAATCCATTTATGGAAAGCGCCCAGCCCCAGGCCAGGCAGAGGAAGGGCTGGCCAAGCCCTGGCTTTCTGTGATCGTCCCCACTCCCTCATTACCAGGCCTTGTCCAACATGAAACACAAGACTTGTCCTCAGAGAGGTGGCCTGTGAAATGGGTGGAAGAGATTTCTTCCCGTCGGTCATCTGTTTCCAGAATCTGCCTGGTGAAGAGGAGCCCAGGGAGAGGCATCCAGACCTAGGGGCTGGATCTGGGCGTGGGGGTTTATTAACCTCTGAGCCCTGTAGGCAGCCCTCAGGCTCACAGGTGCTGGCTTCGTGGCAGTTTGAGGAGCGGTGATGGGGCCAGGCTGTGTTCCAGCTACACTGGGAGCCTGACGTGGAAGGTGGACCTGAGTCAGGTCTAGGCCTAGTTCTCAGCTCAGCCCTGTTAACTCTGGTCTTGACCAAGTCATTTAACCTCTCTGAGCCTCAGTTTTCCTCAGCTTAGGCGCCTTTGGAGATCAGGTACCTTTTCCCACAAAGATGATCTAGGGCTGCCCAGCCTGCCCACCAAACAGGCCCGGCCGAGCCAAGGCCCTGGTGTCCTATGCCCACCCCACCCCCGACCCTCGTCTGCTCCTCTGCCCAGTCCTCTGGCCTCAGCATCTTCCTTTGAGAGCCATGGTCCTCAATTTATTTTCTCTGGACCTGAAGGGTCAGGATCCCTGGCACTGGTTAGAAATCCACATCTCAGGCTCTGCCCCAGACTGGCTGAATCCTGAGCTCTGGGGTGGAGCCCAGTAGTGCCACATGCCCTGGGAAAGGCTGAGAACTGCCACACTCGGGGCTGGAAGTGGGCTGGTACGGGCTGGGCACAGCTGGTTGGTGTCAGGGCTTGGAGAGGGTGAGGTTGGCTGACCCAGCTGGGCCCGGATAGGCCTGCTCCACCATCCTGAAGTGTCCCAGTTTAGAGTCCTGTGCCCACAGGAACAGGGGAGGGGACATTACCAGGACCTCTGCCATGGGTCCTGGCCTGTGAGCCACCACAGCACAAGGCGAATTCAAGAACAGACAGAAAGGAGACTTGGAGTGGAGAAGCTGAGTCTTGGGTCCTGGTCAGTGCTGCTGATGGCAACAAAGACAAAGGCCCCCAAGCACATCCAGTACCTACTGAATACAGTTGTGGGAAGGACTAGGAGCAGGGTCTGCTCTGAAGGCATCTAGTGAATTACTGCTGGACACCTGGCGTGATGGCAGCAGGCAGGGCTATTAGAGGGAAGGCCCTGCTTATCTTGCTTGGATAGAACAAACTGGTACTGGGACTGGGTGCAGTTAGCGAGCAACCCATTGGGTCAGTGAGAAGCTGTAATTCAGGGGAGAGGATCTTAATTGGGGTCCCACTGACCTCAGCTGCATGGAACTCAGCAGAGGCCGGCCACTCCACAGAGCAGGGCCTCGGTTTCTGTGGCAGCTCGCCCAGTCCACCATCTGACATGCCTATTTGAGTCACGTAGAGCTTCATTCTGACTCCTGATATAAAACAATACAGCTGAAAGCAAGGACTAGGTGCCACTGACAGCCCACTGGTACTGGGCAGGGATGTCTGCTACAGAGCCTCAGTTTCCCCATATTGAAAATGCAGCTGATCCCTGCATTTCCTTCCCAGCACAGTTGGTGGGACTTACTGAGATGATGTGTGTGGAGTGCTGAGCTCAGAGAAGGTGTCCTTATTCCCTCTCCTGTTTTGAGGCAGCCCATTCTAGAGAGGAGGCAGGGTTGTGACAGTCGCTGAGGAAGCATCTCCTTCCCGGACCACTTCATCCTGGGGGCATTTTTTTCCCAGCTTTCTGTGCTTTTCCCTTTCATTCTGCTCCCCTTCTTTCTGGGCCTGCCATCTACCTGCAGCACAGCGGTGTCCGTCTGTCCATGGGGCCATCACCACAGTTCAAAATCGCCGGCCCCTGGGGCACCGCTAACTGGGTGGTCACCGTGCGTGAATGAGGCATGATGGCCATCCCGCACGGCTCTAAACTCTACAGAACTCTCCAGGGCGCCTCCCCTGGGCACTGAAGAGCACATTTCTGGGAGCTGAACACTGGCTGCATCTCCTTAACTCCTTCCAAACCAGATCTTCTAGAGAAGTCTCGGGCAATTCGCCAAGCCAGAGAGGAAAGGACCTTCCACATATTTTACTATCTGATTGCAGGAGCCAAGGAGAAGATGAAAAGTGAGTAACCGGCCAGGACCTTGGCTGGGGGGTGCAGGGCTGCGTGTGTTCTTCCACAGGGCCAGGGCAGGTGACGGGGCAGTAAGACGGGCCTGTGGTGGACAGATGCACGATCCTCACCTTCTTCTTGTGTGTGAACGTTGCCTTTGTTCGTTTGTCCTCACTTACCGAGCCCCTACTATATGACAATAGCCGACATCAACCCCAGTTAGACATTAGATCATTAATTAAGTCCCATTGGACACAGTCTTTGCCTTGGAGGAAGGCAGAAAAACAATTGTCTTGTTTGTCAGTTAGACTTGCAAGTGCATAAGATGCATTTTGATTTAAGAAGGAATTTGAAGGTTCCGTGGAATAAAGGATTCTTCATGGCAAATGTCTTGAAAGTGACTTTGAAGTGGCCTTTGTAAGACAGAGGTCAACAAACTTTCTCCTTTTTATGGTGCTGCCAGGGCCTGGGTCAGGCTGGGCAAGGGCTCTTCAATTGAGCCACACCTCAGCCCAGCAAACTCAGATCTTTCCCTTTCTGTCACACCTGCCCAAGTCCACCGTTGTCCTGCAAAGGCAGCCATCTTGGGTGTGGCTGTGCTACAGTGCAACTTCCTTTACTAAAGCAGCCAGTGTGCTGAGGTTGGTTGATCTCTAAATGAAATGTGTATTTCATATATGTGAAATACAGTCCCAGGAGGGAATTATAAGTTCTAGTCATGCAGTACAGTAATCTCTTCAAAGAATATGCAAAGCATATAGTTGGAAAATGTGATGCCTCAGTGAATATAGGTATGTAGTAGAGTCTGCCTTCTAGTAATAAATTTAAGTCTAAAAATGTATGAGAAGCTGGGGATTTAGCTCAGTGGTTCTGCCGCCTGCCTTGCAAGCACAAGGACCTGAGTTCAATCCCTGGTACCAAAATAAATAAATAAATAAATAAATAAAATAAAAATGTAGGAGAAGAATACATACTTTGCTTCCTGTCAGTTTTGTTACTTTGATTAAGAACATTACCGAAAGAAAGTGTGACCTCCCACCTTTGCTGCAGCGGGATTGTGGCAGAGCTCTGCCGCTAGAGGGTGGTGTTTTTATTTAAATCTTGATGTTTGTCTTTCTGGAACATCAGGTATGAGGTAGAGTAATCTTGGATAAAAAGAGGTGCTGAATGGATGTTATACATCAGTAAATGTGGTAAATTGGCTGTTACAGTTTGGGCCGCCATGGGCTAGCTGAGGGCCAATGTTTATATCCCCTCTCCCTCTGCTTTGCACCAAAGTCAGCAGTTTGGTTGTCTCATGACTTGGGTTCCACGTTTGTATTCTGCCTGTGGTCTTCCAGAAATAGGACAAGGTTAATGGCCAATGGCTAAAATTCCTGGGGCCGTGGTATTCTTCATGTCACAACTGGGAAGGGGCTGGGTTCTTAGAATAAAATATTTGTAAACCTATCTGTATTATGGATAAAGAAGTCTTGGTAAAGACCCAAATCCTGTACTTCACTCAGGCATTTCATTTAACCACAAAATTGGAGTTATCATGTGTCTTTGGTCGATTTAATCTCAGGTTTACCAAGTAGCTTCCAAGTGACTTGACCCATAAAAGACCTTAGATGAAAAAAGAAAAGTGTCTTATTGATGTCCCTCCAAGAGTGTTTTAAATCCAGCATAATTAAAGATGGCTGGAAGAGGAAATTTAATGTATCAGAGGTATAATGAGAGCAACTACGATAGGAGAGAAAAGTAATTTTAAATCTGGGGGAAGTACTAAACCACAACAGAGTGGGTGTAACTACAGAATATGACTTTGCAGAGCACAAATTTTAATAGATATAACACCATAAACAAGGAGTTGGCCAATGTTTTTGCTAAAGGGTTCAAGAGTAAACATTCTAGACTTTGAGAATCCTGCAGTATCCATTACACCTATTCAACTCAGACACTAAAATGTGAAAGCAGACCAGGAAATGGAGGTGGCTGTGTTTCAATAAAACTTTATTGACCAAACAACCAGTGGGCCAATTTGCAAACCAAAGATATAAGACCTAACTACTGGATTAACTAGAAATAATTTGAGGAAAGGGAAAGTTGTCAAGAGCTAAATCTTCATCCACAGTAACTGGAGGCCCATAGATAATACCTAAATTTGACACACTCAGTAAGAGCCTATTACATGTAATGGTCTATATATTATAATATACTAATTGTATGTAGTATATATGGTACGGTATATTATGTGTTATAGTATAGTGCATTACATATGTGTAGCACTATTTTATATATATTATTATATATAGTAAACTCATTATATATTAAAATAGTGGTAACCGCCAAAAGAAAGAGCTAAAAGAGATAAAAAGCAGTTATAGAGAAAGGTAGTAATTGCAAAAGGAATATGGCTGGGTGTGGCAGGTTTTTTGTTATAAACCTTTTGGTGGTAATTGATTCTTTTCATGTATATGTATGATTTTGGATAAAAGATAACAATTACCCACTTAGTGATAAGAAATAAGCTCACTGTTCAGACAGTTTTGTTCCTGAAGCTGAGTCCTTGGGAAAGTAAAGCTAGAGGCACCTCTTTCCACTGGGTAGATGTGACCCTGTGTCACCGAGTGTAGCTTACAAATGGAGGCAAGGTTGGATTTTACCTGCCAGGTACCCTGGAGCGGTGTACAGCCTGAACTGCTGTTTGGGGCCACCGATGGCCAGTGAGGCCAACAATGTGTTGATGTAAGAGGAGGGCTTTAACCTGTAAGCCTTGAAAAGGATGCTGGCCCATTCCCTAACGCAAATAGGAAGCAGGAGTGCATCTTGTTGACCCCTTCCCTCTCTTCCTCTCCTAGATGACCTGCTTCTGGAAGGCTTCAACAACTACACATTTCTCTCCAACGGCTTTGTGCCCATCCCAGCCGCTCAGGACGATGAGATGTTCCAGGAGACACTGGAGGCCATGTCCATCATGGGCTTCAGTGAGGAGGAGCAGCTGGGTAGGTTTCATGTGGGCTGGAGACCAGTTCCTGTTTACAACGCGGCTCTCCTGGGGTCAGTACAGAACTCTGTTCCGGATCCCCCGTTTCCTAAAAGGAAAAGTAAAAAGAAAACCAGTTCTAGTGTGGGTGGCTGCTTAACTTTCTAGAAAAGTGACCAAGATAGGGCTTTTTCAGTTGCTGGTGTCCCAAAGTGGCTCAGGCAAGAAGGAAAATGATTCATTCAAAATGTAGAAAAGTTCAGGGAAGCTTCAGGTGCAGCAGGATCTAGGGGCTCACATTTCTTTAGAATCTGGTTTCTTGTCCTCCATCCCTCCCACTGCCGTCTCTTCACAGGCTGCTGCTTTGTGATAGCTGCATTGCTACATTCCAGTCTGTGCATCCTTTGGTTTCTGCCCAAAGATCAGAGTGGATTCCCTGCTTGGGTCAGGAAGTGCAGCCTCCCCAGCTGCAGCCGGTGTGGGGTCCTGAGTTACTCATGCTACTGGGGGTGTGGGAAGCTCGGGAGTGGGTAGAATCTCTAGGAAGGAACCTCGGAGCCATAGGTGGTGATGCTGCCTTGTTGGAAACCGGACACTTGGGCCTGAGAACAGGATGGCTTGGTTGGAGATTCTTGGTCCCAATACTGTGCTTCCGGAAACTCTTTCCCTCCTGGGTCAGATGCGCCCCAGAGTTCAGGGTTAATCTCTTTCAGCAGCATAGGGCAAGATGGTGAAAGTTTCCCACTCTTCTCACGGCCCTCTGCAGCCCCAGGGCATCCCTCATTGCTGAAAAGCTGAGCCCCAGTGATAAACTGGGACACAGAACAAGAAGGCGCTGTGGGTCAGCTGGTGGGTGGGTGGCTCCTGGGGCTTTGGGCCAGGGTCCTGTGCGCCGACTCCACTGCCCCGGACTCCCCAGGGAGGATGCATTTCACTAGGGACATGGGTCAGCTTTGCTTCTAATCTTGGTCTTTTAAAAAAATACAAGTAATGATTAAGTGCTTGCCATGTGCCAGGCATTTGCTAAGCTATTTTCACCCTTAAGATACCAGGATGTTCAGTGGGGTTTGTTTAAATAGTAAAAAATTTGAACAAACTAAAGCATAGGTTACTGTCCTTGTGAAAACAATTGGTGCCATTTAAACTGTTTTGGAATGTTTTGCGGAAAGCGTTGGAAATGCTTAAAATATATTTAAAGTGGAGGTGTCAGCTGACGAGAAATGCTGCATGCTTTATTTACTCTTTCGGCACTGTGGGGAGGTCACTGTTGTCTTTCTCAGTCTGTACATGGGGAAATGGAGGCACAGAGAAGTGAGGGCATTTACCCAGGGACACACAGCAAATTGCTGGTGGATCTGGAGCTCATTCTTGGGTTGCTGGGCCTCCCAGGCCTCTGCTTTAGTCTGTGGGAAGAGAGTTTTTTTTGTTTGTTTTTATTGTTTTGTTTTGAGACCAGCTCACTATATAGTCTGGGCTTATCTTGAACTCGCAGTTTTCCTGCTTCAGCCTCCTGAGTACTGAATTATAGGCATTTGCCATCATGAATCGTACAGAAAGGGAGTTTTTAATCCTTTTAAAAAAAACCTTTATAACCTGTGTCAGGGCCTGCTGGAAACGCAGGCTGGAAGGAAACGTGTATTGTAAGCACAGTTCCCATTGCTGGGCAGGAAGAGATGTCAAATCCCACCCTGAGGCAAGTCTCCCTTTTCAGCACCTTTTTCATTCTTTGTGATGAATTTCAAAGACAGTGTGGCAGTGATAGGTAGCAGGTCTCCAGCTCCTCTCTGACACTTGCTAATCTCCCTTTAAACCTTAGAGAACATGGGGCCCGGGATTTAGCTCAGTGACTCTGCCTCTTGCCTCACAAGCGTAAGGACCCAAGTTTGATCCCTGGTGCCAAAAAGAAAACAATAAACAAATCTCAGAGAACAGGTCATGGTTCCAGGAGCGCAAGCATGGTCAGGCATTAGCCTAGAATTTCTTGTTTGTTTTCCCATTGTTTACTTTTATAGCTACCTCTTTGGGGGGCATGTGAAGCTGACATTTCCCATAAGATCAAGTTTGCTAATAAATGAATGTAAGGAGCTAGAAGTAGGTGAATTTAAATGAAAAAGTAAACAATACACACAGTATTCAGATAGAAGTAGCATTCAGATGGCAAGTGAGAGGCCAGTGCTGGGACAGCCTGAGACCACCGTGGGTGGGGACCCTGGTTACCCGCCCCAGGGGTCTGAGATTCTCCCTGCTCCACCGAGTTCTGCTCTCACAGAGCAAGAGGCACCAAAGCCCAGGAGACCTGTGTCCTGCCTCAGAGACTTCTGAGGAGAGGAAAGGAATTCGCTAGGCCACACAGAGACCATGGCTCTGGAAAGACAGAATGATGACGGAGTCAGTGACTGTTTATTGAGCGCTGCCTCAGGACAATCCTGTGGGGTGGATATGTTAATGGGTCTTCAGATGGTGAGGCACAAGCCCAGAGGGGCTCATATCCCACCTGTGGTCACACAGCTACCCAGAACATGGGTCATTCAACTGACACCGCTCCCAGGTTCCATCCCTATTATTGTTGGCTGAATATTTTTATGTGCAGGTTAGATTTCTATAGTACTATTCACTGTGGCCTTTGTCTTAAACGATTGCTATAAAAGCACTGATTTTTCTACTCTGGTTAGACTGAATCTAATAAGTTAGAGTAAATAGCTGGCTATTAAGATCTTTTAAAAGTTGTTCACATCAGTCCATACCTCCCAGGGTCTGCGTCCCTGCTGCAAAACGCTATTTCCTGTTCCTCGGCAGTAGGGAGGTGGATTTGTTTCCCGAGGCCCCTGTGATTCCTGACTGCAAACTTGGTGTCTGAAAACATCAAAAATATATCCTGTCGATTCTGGAGGCTGAGGCCTGAGGTCGGGGTGTGGGGTGGCCCAGCTCCCCTGAGTGATACCTGGCCTTACCTGTGTCCTGACGAGCCCCCTCCATGCTCCTTGGCGTGTGGCGGTAGCATTCTGATCTCTGCCCCCTGCGAGCCTACCCCGCTGCGAGTTTTCTCTTCTGTCTGAGGTCGCTTGCGCAGGGCCCTCTGGGTAGCGTGAGGCGATCTCACCTCGACAGCCTCCACCTGGTTACATTTAGCAAGGCTTTCTCCAAACACGGTCACCGAAGGTCACAGGTGGACATGTCCTTGGGGACCCCCGTTCTGCCCACTACAGGTGGCTGGCATCGTTGAGCGCCTCCCTGGGCCGTGCCCCGCACTGTATCTGCTGATGTAAACGTCACGGAGTAACTGTGTTCTTACCGTCTCCATCTTGCAGCTCGGGAGCTGAAGCTCAGCGGGGCCGAGCTGGGCTTTCAGCCCAGGACTGCCTCCTCTAGAGTGCTCACTTCTAGCCCTGCGCCAGCCTGCCAGCCAGCACCACCCTTGTTGCTCTTGCGGCCCTTTTGAGTTGGGCGCTTTGCCGTCCATCAACTCCTTGCATGCGTTCACCTGGGTGACCTGCGTTCAGTCACCATTCTTCGGCCATTTCTGTGATGACATTAACTATGCCAGAAAGCACAAGGGCATAGCTCCTGATCGAACAGGAGAGAAAATCTGGCCACCACAAGCCTCTAAAACTTTTAAAAAGTGAACCTCAATGTTTAAATGTGGCTAGATCTCATATAAAACTGCATTTGCATCACCGTTGGAAAAATGAGAAATTCCAGCAACACTGAACTCATTTGCCCTGTGGTAACAAGAGAGGAACCACAGCCCATTCCGGTGCAGTTGTGGTCCCTTGAGTCTCAGAGCCCCTTGGTATCTGCTTTTGGTTGTCACAACTCTATAGGGGGCACACTATTGCCACCTAGTGGTGAGAGACCAGAAATGCTACTTAAACATGTTACCGTGGTGCACAGGAGAAAGCATGTTCTGGCCATAGATTTCAATAATGCCAAGATAAACCTGGGTTAGGCTTCTCCCCTGGGATCCTCAGGGCTTTCAACAATCCCTAGGTTATATCTGAACTTTAAAAGCCATGCGTACAGCATCTGATAGTTTACAAAGCCCCCTTCACAGGTGGTGTATGTGTGTGTGTGTATGTGTGCGCTTTGTTTTGGGTACTGGGGATCAAACTCAGGTCCTTGTGCTTGAAATCCCCAGCCCTTTCACAGGTGTTGTTAAATCGCCTTAGCAATGTCTCATCACCAGCATCCTCCTTCACTTGTAATGGGGAGGGAAGGGCTCCTGGTGCCCACAGCTGGAGCCCTGCCCTCCTGAGCTGGGCCTCAGCCCCCACAGAGGGAGGGCAGCTCCTGTGAAGGGGCAAAATAAGAGAAGGCTGGGTGTCTAGGGCTTGTTCCTGGGACGTAGTAACTTCCTGCTGACCAGAACTCTGGCTGATCTGTCTCTGGTTTTATCTACGCCAAGCACTGGCAGTCAGCGGTCACCTATCTGCACCTACCCAACCTTCCGTCCCCCCTCTTCCCATCCTCGAATCAATCAGTGCTCCTTCCTGTGCTCACATTTGTCTGGATCCTAAAATCGGCTGTGAGAATTCCGAGGTGGTCAGGGCAGGTCACCCTCTTCTCCAAAACCTCGTGGTCTTGTCCGGATTTCTGACATAAAACCACTATCAAGGGAACACGGGCTGAGTGTGGAGGCTCCAAGTAGTCTGGGAACACAGTATATCTGGCTGGAGCCCCCCCCCCCGCCAACAAGTGGGAAAAAAAATCCTGCCTTCTTCATCCTAACATGAGTGTCTTGTGTATCTGGTGGCATACGTTAGGAAGCACAGGGGGGTTTAAATCTTTATTGACATAGGGTGTACATCGAGAAAATTGTGTAGGTCCCAAGTAAACAGTACAGTGAATTTTAGAAATGGAATGCACCTTTTGTTTCGTGTTTGTGTCTATGAGGTCTCAGTCTTTTTCTCTGAAGTTGTAAGTCATTCATTCTTGTTGCTCTGTAGCCGAATTGACCAACATTCCCCGTAAAGCCGCCTTTATAGGTCATTTAATGCCTGACATAACTGTCCCACTTGGGCCACTGTAGCAGGCAAACAGTGTTAGGCAACATTAATGTTGTTGGTCTGCTCTTCTCTCCCCACCTCAGCCATACTGAAAGTGGTGTCCTCCGTCCTCCAGCTGGGAAATATCGTCTTCAAGAAGGAAAGAAACACAGACCAGGCATCCATGCCAGATAACACAGGTACCTGCGACCTGGTCCTGATAACTGATGGCTATGGGCGGGGAGGAGAGCCACAATTTTGGCATTGGTGAAATGTTATCTCCTTTATCCACAGTTTTGCTTTCTGAAGATTCAGTTGCCTGTGGTCAACTATGGTCCAAAAACACAGTACAATATAAGAAGACAGCTCGCAAGCAAAAGGCCACATGCATATAACTTTTAACTTTTGCTGCAGTGTTATCGTTGTCATCACTAATTATAAGTTACTGTTGCTATTCTCTCACTGTGCCTGATTTATAATTAATTTTCACCAGAGGTGTGTCTGTGTAGGAAAGAGCAAGGTATACAGGGTTCAGTACCATCTATGACTTCAGGCACTCACTGCAGGTCCGAGCACACATGCCCCGTGGATTGGGGGCTGGAGCATTTCTGCATGAGGGTATCTGGGAAAGTAGTAGCTGGACTACGTTACCATCACTGTCATCGCTGACTTTGCTCTTTGTACAAAGTTTTCACTGCTGAAAGTTCTTAAATCAGCGTTTTAGGGTAAACGGATCCTTAGGGCTCCGCGATGGTGAAAGTGTTAGAGCTTTCAGTGAAACAGTGTGGCACGAGTGCCATAAGTTTGCCACACCGTTAGGCTCCCGATACTGGGGACTGAACCCCAGACCTTCACATTGAGCTGTCTCCCCAGCTCTTTGTATTTTTTATTTTAAACAGTGTCTCACTAAGTGATTTAGTTGCCCCGGCTAGGCTTGGACTTGCAGTCCTCTTGCTTCACCCTCTCAGAGTGCTGGGATTACAGACAGGCATCACTACAAATGGCTTAAAGACATATTTCTTGAGCAACTACTGTGCACCGGGCATCGGCTACAATGGGAAGCGAGACAGGATTAGTCCTTTAAAAAAAATTTTTTTTGCCTTTTTCCAGTCCTAGATATTAAACCCAAGGCCTTAACACTAAGCTGCATCCCCGATCCTTTTTAAATTTTTTTTTTTAAATTTTGAGACAGAGTTTTGCTAAATTGCTCTGACAGGGTCCCATTCTCTTGTCTATACCTGCCTCAGCTGGCAGCCAAAACCATATTTTATTCCATCCCTTCTGGTGCACTTTTACACGCTCACAGACATATATCTGAGCAATGTAGAGGGGCCTGCAATTTACACAGATCGGCACCTTGTGTCTTTCCCTCCGTACCCATCAATGTCTAGGTCATGTCTCAAATACACCCACTCCCATTGTAACAAAAAATGTCCCCAGACATGGCCAAGTGTCCTCTGGGGACATAATTGTCCCCAGACAGTGGTGCACAGAAAGAAAGATGTTTCCTGTAACTGCTATCTGGTACTGTTTTATTCAGTTCCCACACCAGCAATGCTGAGACGCGTGTCCTAGAACAGAACAAACATTTACTGAATAATTTCTACATCTGTCCCACTACATACCTTCCCTCCCCTAATCCTGTTAACTAGCCAACAAAGTACCTAATTGCTGACCCTTATAAAGCCAAGGAAAACAAGACCTCAGGAATTGAAATAGCTTGGCTATAGTCACGTGATTTGGAGGTGGGGAGGGGGCCAGGACTTAGACCTAGACCTTCCTGACCCTAACCCCACACTGAGGGATACTTCTACCCACCTTGGCATTGTCTCTTAGTGAAACACTAAGCGTGAGATCACCCGTGACTGTGGGCGTTAGGACTCTCTAAGGCTGAGTTCACCACCCTAGGGTTCCCTTCTCCAAGAGCAGCCCAAGGGTACACAGATCACACGTGTCCACGGGGTGGGGTGCCATCCTCTGGGCCTTCTCTTTTGTGATGCACTCAAGAGGTTTCCTTTGTCCTCCAGCTGCTCAGAAAGTTTGCCACCTTGTGGGGATTAATGTGACAGATTTTACCAGAGCCATCCTCACCCCACGTATCAAAGTTGGACGGGATGTGGTACAGAAAGCTCAGACGAAGGAACAGGTAATGATGTTTTTGCCATGTATTCCTGCAGAATGTTGCATCCATCCATCCATCCATCCATCCATCCACTTGTCCGTTCATCCCCTTGGCCACCCACCCACCTAACCATACACCCACCTAACCACCCATCTCCATCGACCTGTTGTCCATCATCATCCCTCCAAGTACCACTCATCCATCTATGCACATCCAACATCCATCCAACGTCATCCACTCTCATCCATCCATTCACCTGCGCAACCATCCAGCTAGTACTAGAATAGTCTAAGTCCTGTGTCAGTTTTTGAGGCCACGCTGCTAAACAAGAACTGCAGAGTCCTTCACTCATGACTTCACCTTGACGCCTTAGTTGTCAGGTACCAGGTCTGGCCTTAGAGATTTCTCTGTGGAAATGACCCACTGCCCCTCAATGATCCTGGGATGGAACAGCTTCCGGGGTCCCCTTGCCTGGGGATAATCTCATTATCCACACAGTCATTCCTTGGGTCTGACCACTTTTACTGCTTCTTATCTTCTGGTTGTAGAGGTGATCTCCTTTGTGAGGAATGTTAAAGGTAGGGGGAGAATAAAAGCCCAAAGCTCCAGCCTGGCTTACATGCCAGTGCAGCTCACTGTGAATAACTGAGTTCCCTTGCTACCACTGCAGGCTGACTTTGCTATCGAGGCTTTGGCCAAGGCCACCTACGAGCGCCTTTTCCGCTGGATACTCAGTCGAGTCAACAAAGCCCTGGACAAGACCCATCGGCAAGGGGCTTCCTTCCTGGGCATCCTGGACATTGCTGGATTTGAGATCTTTGAGGTACAGCTTGGTAGGATCATGACCGCTACAATCGTGGTCCTCTGGGATGAGGCTTCTTCCTCTTAGAGAAATCATTATTTTGGAGAAAAGCATGCAGTTGGCCGCTTTAGAGTAAGAAGCTATCTAGTGAAGGTTAGAAACTTGAGTGTGTGAGAGACAAAAATCCAACAGGGACCGCACTGATTGGTGTAACTGAGACAGCCAGGGGTCCTGCTGGATCCTAGCAACAGGGCCCAATCTGTCGCCTCTCCTCCACCTTCCCATTTTGGTTCTGTCCTCAAGTAGCTGCCCCCTCATGGTGGCAAAATGCTTGCCACAGCTCCAGTCTCTGAGCGATGCTGGCAGAAAAAAAGGACGTCTTCTTTCTAGCAGTTCCAACCCCAACCTTGGATTAGGAGCCTCCCTGATCCCTAACTGCCTGGCCACGTCCACACCGAACACCACTTCCAAGTCCTGCAGTATTTCGTGGAGTGGAACTATGGTTACCGTACTGTATCCCACTCCCGGGCTTGGAGGAAAAGTGTGGGAGAAAGAAAAGCACGAGAGACGTCCACAGCAGAATTTCAGGCCACAGAGCTCTGCGTGAGGCCCGGAGCCTTGCCGGGGCCTCCCCGGGCGGCTCCCTCCCCGGTGCTCACCCCGGCCTGTCGCGTGTGCAGGTGAACTCCTTCGAGCAGCTGTGCATCAACTACACCAACGAGAAGCTGCAGCAGCTGTTCAACCACACCATGTTCATCCTGGAGCAGGAGGAGTACCAGCGCGAGGGCATCGAGTGGAACTTCATCGACTTCGGCCTCGACCTGCAGCCCTGCATCGAGCTCATCGAGCGCCCGGTGAGGGACTGTCCAGCAGGGGGCGCGGGCACACCAGTGCGCATGCGTGGAGCCCTCCCTGCGTGCTTGGCTCAGTCACCCAGGTCTGAAGGGCCCTGAGATAGGACTGAGACCTAACATGCTTGCACTCACCCAAAGGTATTTTTCATTCTGTCCTCCTCCTTCCCTTCTTCTCCTTGCCTTTCCCTTCCCATTCATTCCTTCCCGAAGGGTGAAGACTTCGTTTTGTTTACTGACATATTCCAAACGCCTAAACCTATAGTAGGAGAACAATAAATATGATTTTTTTTGAACTGGGACCAAAAACTCAAAACTCAGGATCCTGCGCTTACGAGGCAGGGAGTGAAACTACTGAGCTAAATCCCCAGCCCTTCCATCCTTTTTTTATTTTTTGAGATAAGGTCTTGCTAAGTTGCTGTTGGCCAGCTGGGTTTACACTTGAAATGTTTCTGCCTCAGCCCACCCAATGTGCTAGGATTACAAGCATGCACTGCCAACCAGAATGTTTGCTGAGCATCTACTATGGGCGTGGGCTCCTTTTTTAGGTGGCAGCAACTTTTTTTTTTTTTTTTGTACGAGGGATCGAACTTGGGTCCTTGTGCTTGCGAAGCAGGCAGTGGAATCACTTAGCTAAATCCCCGGCTCTGGGCTCCTTCTTTAGGGACTGGGGATATAACTGTAAGACAGACACGAGCCTTTCCCTTCTGGAGGAACAGACTGTGAAACAAGACAAACATTGCAAGAAAAACAAAAACAAAAACTCCTCATAAGGCCTCTACAGAAAGTGACTTGGGAAGGCCCGCTTTTGATAGAGCAGTTAGGAAACAGGCTGAGTCCAGAAAGGACCATTCCATCAGGGCAAATGACATGGGAAAATTTGGTGAGGCTCTCGCCACCTTAGCTTAGATCCTCCCAGCCACAAGGAAATGCTTTAGTGAAAGAAATCTTGGGTGAATTTATAAGGACAAAACAACAAATTTGCAGGCTTTGCAAGCTTGTGACTGCATGTTGTCACTAGGGGGCAGCAGTGCACATTATGCTTTGTGGTTGGTTGGTGTCAGCCTTCGATGCCTCGTTCTGTTCATTGGGCTCGGGGTACTTTGAGGATAGATTCTGGGAGTTGGGGTAATGGAAGCAACAATCCATCTTAGATGTAGGTAACTATGGTAACAGCCAGGGGCTGCCTGTGCACTGTTTGCGTGGCAGGTTCTTCCTGGTGAGCCTGAAGCCTGGAGGACCTCTGGTCTCACTGGGCCCCTGCCCTCCGTGTGTCTTCCACAGAACAACCCTCCTGGTGTGCTGGCCTTGCTGGATGAGGAGTGCTGGTTCCCCAAAGCCACTGACAAGTCTTTTGTGGAAAAGCTGTGCTCAGAGCAGGGCAACCACCCCAAGTTCCAGAAGCCCAAGCAGCTCAAGGACAAAACTGAGTTTTCCATCATCCACTATGCGGGGAAGGTATACCCGCTGGTGGGCCCAGGAAAGACTTCTCCAGGGGAGCCCAGGTGGATGGGAAGAGTGGGAATAACCTGGGAACAGCAGAACCCTGGGACTAGGAATCCCAAAGTCATGCAGCAAATCAAACCTCAACCAAGCCCTGTATGTGTCTAAGCATTAGCTGAGTTTCAGCCTCTCTAATAGGTTTCGGCCCTGGTGGCCAGGCTGTTCTCTCTTGCATAGATTCTCAGTCCTCTCACTACAAAGTTAAACCCAACAGGAAGGTCCAGGTGGAACCAGGTGACCAACAGATCTACTCTTGGATTTAACAGAAATCTCCCTGCCATTGCCAGCCTGCTCCATCTGGGGAAACTCGTGACAGCTGTCACCTTTGTCACTGTTATCATATCTTAGTGGCATCCAAGTGTCCTGCATAGCATAGCAAAGACATGGTTTAGTCTGGCCTGCAGAATTATTTTATTGATTCCCCAATAATATCCCCACTGAATCACAGGGAGAGCCAATGTCCTATACCAGGAGCCAGCCAACTACAGCCCAAGGGCCAAATCTGGCCCACAGCTTGTTCTTGTAAATAGGGTTTTATTGGAACACAGCTGTGCCCATTTATGTGTATGCTGAGCTGCTCTTAAGGGCAGCGTTGAGTATTAGTGAGAGACCAGATGGCTCACCAAGCTGAAAATATTGATCCCCTGGGCTGTTCACCCAACTCCCACCTTATAGTCAAGAGAGTACGTATGGCTTTAATCATATAGAGATAATGCTTTCATTTTCCCAACAGTAGAAGTGTTTTCCATTCTCTTCTCAGGTCAGGCCTAGCCATTATTATAACAGCCATATCCTATAATAATCCACTAAACCTGCATTATCAGTTTCTTTCCTTTCATATTTCACAGTAATCAAATTCAGGCTTCAGTTACTATCAGCGTTCAAGTCAGGATGTTCAAAAGCCTTATAGCTCTTTTTCTGTACATCCCTGTATCAAAATCTTCAAGTTATAAAAATAATGCTTATCAAGTATGGGAAAGAAGACCCCACACTTCATTTTAAAACTAAGATTGTTGTCAAGCCTTTTCTCGTGAGGAGGAGGTTAGGGAGGGCCTTGCCACCATTAGACCCTTCTTTGGCTTTTTCTGAAGTCACAGACATCATGCCAGGCTCTGGAGAGGGGAGTGGCCAGAGGAGGAGATGGCTAGTAGTGTGCGTGGAGTACAGAGCTGTCCTGGCAGTGGCTACCATCTGTTAGTGTCCTACTGTGTGCAGCCCTTGAAAGTCCTATACTGATCTGCCACTCTCTCCTTGCTCTTTGTGGGGATCCATCACGGTGGCCACAAAAGTACCTTTCTCTCTGACCTCAGAAGCACTGGGAGGAGATGGGGAGGACTTGATCACTGCCCCAGACTGAAGTGGGGGTACCTGACCGACGGGGTGGCTCTTGGCAGGTGGACTACAATGCAAGTGCCTGGCTGACCAAGAACATGGACCCGCTGAACGACAATGTGACCTCGCTCCTCAACGCCTCCTCAGACAAGTTCGTGGCTGACCTGTGGAAAGACGGTGAGGCCCACCCCACTGAGGGTTGAGTACCCTGCTTCTCTGCCTCATCCCCCTGCCCCTGATTTGGGAATCACCTGCCCCATCACTGCTCTTCAAGGGGGTGAAGAGAAGGCCGTGTTAGCGTGGGCTGGCGATGTCATGTTAAACAGTCACCCTTTTGCTCCGTGTGACAGCTGAGCCCCTCCACCCCATGCCTGGGCCCCAGTGAGAAGGACTAGGCAGCAGCTGGAGGAAATAGTGTACCAGGCATGGCGAGTTGACAGTTTTGTCCCAGCCTGAGTCAGGAACTTCACTTTGTCAGTCTCTGCCATGTCTTAGCAGTGACGTCTTAGATGAGTCCCTTGACTTGGTCTAGCTTCAGTGGCCTCATTAGGAAACTGGAAAGACCATAATAGCTCCCCTTTCACCTTTCATGAGGTTTAAATTAGACCACTGCTGCTCATACTTGAGCAGCTTCGGGATGCCCTGCTGAACCCTGTGTGCCTCCTCCCCAGGCAGAGTTAGTAGGGCAGGGCAGGCCTGGAAATCTGCATTTCTCACACATTCCCAGGTCCCGTTGGCCCGAGGATCTCTCTCCAGCTGCCTCTTTGAGAACCAGGGAGCAGACTGTCAGGCCTTTGCCTCTGGCCCTTGACCCCATGTCACATGCCACTCTTGGGCCTGCAGTTTAAGGACTGACCTCCCTTATTTAGGGCATGGCCCAGGGAGAGGCCAGCGCTGCCAGCTCTGATGAGGGCCAACCACGTGCCAGGCCCCGGGCCTGGTCCGCAGCGTCTGACCTGAGTAAACTGCCCCCGGGTCTTCTGATGAGCTCGGCCAGGCCCTTTCCTCGAGGAGCCTGCAGGCTTGTGGGACTGACCAGCAAGCAAAGAGTTATTATTGTGAGGTGCAGATGGTGCGGTCTGAGGCCAAGGCACAGGGCTTGGCATGCACAGCACCTGCTGGGCCGACAGGAGTCCCTCGTTCCATCCTAGAGGAAAAAAAACCTGGGTAGTAATAAAAATATCACCAGGAGCCAGGACCCCACCTCTGAGTGCTTGCTGCACCTTGTGCCAGAGCATTCTCAACCTGGGCACCTACGTGGTCACTCATTTGATTCCAGTCTCAGCTCAAATATCAGCTTATCAGACACACAGCACCCCCATCACCCTGTCTGATGGGGAGCCCCGTCTCTCCCCATTATCCTTTAATTTTTATTTTTAAAAAAATTTTTTGAGACAGGGCCTCACTAATTGACTAAGTTGCCCAGGCTGGATTCAAACTTGTCACCCTCCCTCCTCAGCCTCTCAGAGTGCTGGGATTACAGGCATGTATCACCCACCCAACCTGGCACCTCCTTTATTCTTCTAAACACACATCACACCTGAAATGCCATATGCTTACAGGATTGCTGTCTGTTTCCTCCCATTAGATATCCATAGGGTATAAGCTACGTGGGTGGGGTCTCTGTGTGGTTCATAGTGAATCCCGAAGGCCCGATATACAGTGGGTCCTCAATAAGTATTTGTGGGTGGAAGGCACATTAAAGGCAGACAGGGAGATGAGCACTTTGTGTATCTTACTTGCTTTTCCTGCCCCCGGGGGTAGATACTGATACTGCCTCCCGTTTGTAGAAAGGAAAACTGAGGTACAGGGCTGTGCAGTGAATCCTGAGCAAGAACAGGATTAGCTCCCAAGCCTGCCTGACAACAGCAGGAGAGATCTGTCTCTTCTGTCCCTCAGGCACTCTCTGGATTTCCCACATGGATGATATTTGGAAGCCCTGCCCCATGCCTCCCTCCTGCTGGAGGTGAAAGCATTGGGTGGCAGAGGGGAACTTGCGGCGGGGCCCCCACGAGTACCTGGAGTCTTCTACAGAATATTTCCCCCTGGGAGATCCTTGCTCGCCAAGCTTGGGCCGAGTCCCTCATTTGCTGCCGGTGGGTGGGAGGCTGACACTGCCCTCTCTGTGCCTCCCAGTGGACCGGATCGTGGGGCTGGACCAGATGGCCAAGATGACTGAGAGCTCCATGCCCAGTGCCTCCAAGACGAAGAAGGGCATGTTCCGCACGGTGGGGCAGCTGTACAAGGAGCAGCTGGGCAAGCTGATGACCACACTGCGCAATACCACACCCAACTTTGTGCGCTGCATCATCCCCAACCACGAGAAGAGGGTGAGGCCCCCGCTGCCAGGCTCCTGACCCAGGGCTGCCTGGAGAGGTCATCAGGGGGCTGTGGGAAGGCTCCTTCCTTGGAGGCCCTGAGGCCAACCAGGGGAGGAGGAGGAGGCCAACCGTGCCCCCTCTGCTGCCCACCCCAAGACTCTGCTGTGGGTAGAAGGTTCTCAGAACTTGGGGCCCACTCCCTGTTCCTGGAGGCAAGAGAAAGCAAGGGAGGAAGGTAGTTATCTGGAGACTGTTCAGCTATGGACTGTTGAGGGCATGGAGCCACTTGCCCTTTCATTATTCCAGAAAATATGTACTGAGCTGCTGTTAGTGCCAGGTGCTTGGAATACAGTGTTGGAAAAATTGAAGGTAGCTTTAGTTGTCACAACTGGAACGGGACTAACATAGCATCTGGTGGGTAGAAACCAGGGAGCTGCTAAACATCCTGCGATGCGCAGCGTGCTCCCACCACGCAAACAACCTGTCCTAAAAGTCAGTGGTGCTGAAGTAGCGGGAGATTCCAGCACAAGCTGATAATCGAGATGGTAAATTCCAAGAACACCAGAGATCCAGGGCTCCTCCCCCGGCCTCAGGGCTCAGAGAAAGCTTAGTAGAGAACATGAATTTGAAGAATAAGTAGGCATCAACATTGTGAAGAGTGTGTGTGTGTGTGTGTGTGTGTGTGTGTGTGTGAAAAGGGCATCCTAAGTAGCGGCCCAGGATAAGCAACAGTGTACAGTGGAAAATGAAGGGTCTGGGCAAGGAAACGCTAGGCAGGTCAGCATTTCGTACTGGCACGCAGTGGTGTGAGGCAGGGATCAGAAGATGTGCAGCTGCACTTGCAGGGAGGGGCTGGATTATGGAGATCCGTAGTACAGTGGAATGAAGGGTCTGGGCAAGGAAACGCTAGGCAGGTCAGCATTTCGTACTGGCACGCAGTGGTGTGAGGCAGGGATCAGAAGATGTGCAGCTGCACTTGCAGGGAGGGGCTGGATTATGGAGATCCGTGTGTGTGTGTGTGTGAAAAGGGCATCCTAAGTAGCGGCCCAGGATAAGCAACAGTGTACAGTGGAAAATGAAGGGTCTGGGCAAGGAAACGCTAGGCAGGTCAGCATTTCGTACTGGCACGCAGTGGTGTGAGGCAGGGATCAGAAGATGTGCAGCTGCACTTGCAGGGAGGGGCTGGATTATGGAGATCCGTGTGTGCTGACCAGACCTTGGCCTCCTGTTTGTAGGAAGCCATGGGGTAGTTAAAGCAGAATAGGATGTGATCCAGTTTATATTTTAGATGGGATAAGGGGCCAGAGGAGGAGGCAGGACAGGAGGAAGAAGACCGGGTGCAGAGCTGCTATGGAGGTCTAGTGGCGGATGGGAGCACGTCAGTGGTAGACAGTGGCAGTGGAAATGTGGGCAGAGTAGGACAGATCTGGGAGGTAGGAGATATTGAATGGGTGATGGATGGGTTGCTGAGGAAGAAGCTTCAGTTTCTAGCCAGGCAAAGCTACTGCCACCAAGTACAGGGGAGATCATGGGACAGATAGTGCCAGTGAAAGGAGATGGAAACCCAGAGAAGGCGCACGATGATGCCCCACCCCTCAGCCGAGCCACACCTGATGCCTCTGTGAGTACCCCATGGCCTGGCAAGGTGGGCCTGGGGCTTGCTGCCCCAGTGGTCACTGTCCTCTTCTGCCACTGCAGTCTGGCAAGCTGGATGCCTTCTTGGTGCTGGAGCAGCTGCGGTGCAATGGAGTGTTGGAGGGCATCCGCATCTGCCGCCAGGGCTTCCCCAACAGGATTGTCTTCCAAGAGTTCCGCCAGCGGTGAGCCCACTGGGCCGGCGGGCGATGGGCTGGGTGGAAAGACTGAAGGGGCTGCGCTTGGTGACGTCCGCCTTGTGTTTGAAGCTACGAGATCCTGGCGGCGAACGCTATTCCCAAAGGCTTCATGGATGGGAAGCAGGCCTGCATCCTCATGGTGAGCCCAGCCGGAGACCCTCCCCAGAAACCCAGTTCCAACCTGTTGGCCTCGGGTCACCCTGACACTCGCCGTTCTGGGTGGGACCGTGCCTAACCGTACGTCACCATTGGCCGGGGGTCCCAGTGGACAATGGGAACTCTCTTCCCTCCTCCCTCTGCAGATCAAAGCCCTAGAACTCGACCCCAACTTGTACAGGATTGGACAGAGCAAAATCTTCTTCCGCACTGGGGTCCTGGCTCACCTGGAAGAGGAGCGAGACTTGAAGATCACTGATGTCATCATGGCTTTCCAGGCCATGTGTCGTGGATACCTGGCCAGAAAGTAAAGCGTTTCCCATCCCCTAGAACCTCCTCAAAATAGAGCAAATGCATAAATATCAAGAGGGCTTTCCGGCCCCGTGTTATAATGTCCTGATTCCTAGAAGCTGTGTGTTTTAAGGCGTGTCCTTGATTGACAGCTTTTAGTTGAGGGGAAAAAGTGCCTCCACTTTCCACATAGGCACCAGTTGTGAGCGCAGCGATGGAGCAAGTAAAGGCCGCAGGGTCTGGAGTTTCAGACCTGGGTTTTATCCTCGCTTCCCTGCTGCAAGTTATAGTACCTCTCGGAGCCTTGGGTTGCTCCACTGGAAAAGGAGCATATTTATTCCTGCCTCATGAAGTAGCTCATGAGGCTTCAGTGAAATAGTGATTCACGGAAAGGGCTGAGACCAGTGGCTGGTTATCATTTCAGAAATGGTAGCATAGGACAAAGGACCCGAGGAAAGAGCACCCCCCTGGCTAAATGGGATCCACACCACAGGGCCTTGGAAGTGGTGATGGCCCACGGTGGCTCTGTTCTGTGAATCTTGGGGACTAGATGGGGGCCCAGGTTCTCTGATGCGAGTCACACCCTGAAGAGGGCTGCATGGGCAGGTTCAGCAGCTCTCTGTCTGAAGCATGTGTTATCCTGGTGTAAACCACACTTCCTCCACAGGACCCTAATTGAGTCAAAGCTGTTCGTTGCCAAGTGGACCCAAGATGGTCAAGACCAGATTTGGGAGACTCCGTCCAAAAGTGGTCCCAACTTGCTAACTTTCTTAACTACATTCTTTGCTGCCATCCTTTCCACTTCCAAAATAACTGGGGCCGTTCTTCACTGTTCTGTGGTTTCTCACAGCCCATGGCCCTGAAGATACCGATTTGGTGTCAAGGTCTAAGATTTAGAAAATACAACCAAGCTTTCTCAGAAGCTCACCTGGCTCAAGGGCCCGAGGGATGGAATGATGGAATATAGATTTGGACTCTAGGTTTTGTTAGGATTCTGGCTGAGTCCAGGGCACTCTGGGGTCTCCTTGCCCACTGAGAAAGGCTGTTGGCCTGAGATTATTTAACAGGCCTGTGCCCAGATAATATGCATGTGCTGATGCTCAGGACCTGAGCTGGAGAGAAGTGGGTGCACCTGGGCAGTGTAGAGGTACTGCAGGGCAGGATGCTGTGGACAACAGGGGGAAGAACATGGTTCCCATCCTCTCTCCCCCCAGGGCCTTCACCAAGAGGCAGCAGCAGCTGACAGCCATGAAGGTGATTCAGAGGAACTGCGCCGCCTACCTCAAGCTGCGCAACTGGCAGTGGTGGCGGCTCTTCACCAAAGTGAGTGCTTGGCCTGTTCCCCTCTCAAAAGCCACGAGGCCCCCTCCCATCTTGGGCTCCACATGAACCCCCAGATGGGAGCCCAAGGGTGGTGGAAAGTGGGTTTGGAGCTGAGGGCTTGAACTCAAACATTTCCAGGCCTCAGTGGGCCTGCAGGTTTCAGCCTTGACCTTCATGCTGATCCAGGGCACATCTATCACCTGAAGTACCCTTTGTGTTGCCCTTCTGTAACCATACCCTCTTCCCTCTGTAGCCCCTGTCAACCACCGTCCTGATCACCTGTGTAATTTCATTATTTTAAGCCAGGGTTGTGGCTCAATGGTAGAGTACTTGCTAGCATGCATGAGGCCCTGGGCTTGATCCCCAGCACCAAAATAATGACAACCACAATAGTAATACGTCATGGAGTCCCACAGGATTTCACGCAGTGCATACCAGAGAGCCTTCAGATGCTGCACTACCTGTGCTTTGTTCCTTTCTCATGTGGGAGGGTCAAGAGCCCTCAGAATGACCGGATCCTACAGCCTTCCTGGTTGTGGTCTACCAGTTGCCCAAAGACATGCTCAGTTGCAGTGATGGGACTTCCCCTGGTGCGCCCTTGAGCATATATATTGACACAAACCTTTTCCATGGAGTGGGTATTTTCTGAATGCCTACTGTGTGCCAGGCACACGCCAGGTGCAGGAGACACAGCTGTGAACAGGCATCATGGTCCCTGGCCTCATAAATAGTCGAGCCAACTGGAGGACAAGACAATAAAAGGAAGTCACAGAGAGCTAGTGGCAGACTAGCTCTAAGCACATGAAGAAAGGCACAGTGTACATCAGCAGGGGCTCCTTGTGCTGGGCAGGGGCGGAGAAACAGGAGCTGAGACAAGCTGGTGAAGAACCATGTGAGAGATGGCTTTTGGGAAATGTTCATGCCTGTTAGTGCAACATCTGAAAAACAGTTTAAATAAGGAAAATCGGGGATTAAGGGTGCTCCTTGTGACTTTATTGACAGTGGCAGCATTTTAGTGCCGAGTCCTTGGCAGATTAGTTCACTCCTCAGTGGAAAAAATTTCAACTATTAAAAAATGATGAATAACAACAACAAAAAAATAGGATTGTAGAAGAAATGAACAGCCTGGGGCAAGAACTACCTTGTGATTTTTAAATAACAAAGGCAGAACATAAAAGTAGGCAATATAATATCAAATCTTTTTTTCTTTTTTTGATACTTGGGATTAAACTCAAGTGAGCTACAACTCCAGCCTGTTTTCAGTTGCTAAATTGCCCAGGCTGGACTCAAACTTGTGATCCTCCTGCCTCTGCCTCTCACAGTGCTAGGATTACAGGTGCGTGCCCGCAGGCCTGGCTTCAAGTCTGCTTTTAAAGAAAGCTTATAAGGGGCTTTGAATGATGCTTTTGATAGGGAAACAGAAAACGGACCTTTCACTTTTATTCTTGGAGGGAATCAACCATTCCCAGCTATAGTCCTCTCTGGGATGGTTCTAGGATGGGGAAAGGAGGAGACTTTCTCCTTCCTTTTTGTACTTTTTCTATTGCTCTATTGAGAATTCCTCAGGTTGGGGATGTGGCTCAGTGCTGCAGCATCTTTCTAGCACGCTTCAGGCCCAAGGTTTCACTCCCAGCACTGCAAAAACAGCAACAAAACAGTTCTTCAACCTTTGCACTGTTAATATTTTGCACTCAGTTATCCTGTTGTGGGTGCCTATTAATGCACTCTGGGACTGTCAGCCATGATGCCAATAGCATCGTCCACCCTAGTGTCACAACTAGCAGTATCTCTGGGCATTGCCCAGAATGCCCTGGATAGGTGTTGGGAGCAAAAGCTAGCTTACCACTGCCGACTGATCTGTGATAGAATACATCCCTCTGGCCACAAAGACAGAACTCACTGTGTGTGTGCACAGGTGAAGCCGCTGCTGCAGGTGACCCGGCAGGAGGAGGAGATGCAGGCCAAGGAGGACGAGCTGCAGAAGACCAAGGAGCGGCAGATGAAGGCAGAGAGCGAGCTCAAGGAGCTGGAGCAGAAGCACACTCAGGTGTGCTCGGGTGGGCGTTGGCTGGGCTGTGGGGAGGGCTGGATGCTCCACCGAGGCCCGGGCCAGGGCCCCTCTCACCCACCACCCCCACCCCGAGCAGCTGGCCGAGGAGAAGAACCTGCTGCAGGAGCAGCTGCAGGCAGAGACCGAGCTGTATGCGGAGGCCGAAGAGATGCGGGTCCGGCTGGCAGCCAAGAAGCAGGAACTGGAGGAGATCCTGCATGAGATGGAGGCACGCCTGGAGGAGGAGGAGGACCGGGGCCAACAGCTACAGGCCGAGCGGAAGAAGATGGCCCAGCAGATGCTGGTATGGCACTGCTGAGCTGCCTGTGGAGGGAGGCAAGCTGCTGGAGCCCTCACTGCAGGCGCTGGATGAGACAGGCCCGGCTGGGCAGATGAGGAAGCTAAGGCTCGGAGGGGATGTGCTTCTGCCCCAGGCCACCGACCTGATGTGGGGATTAGGATACAGGTCTCAGGTCCATGCTGTCCTGCTACTCTGCCTTCTATGTGCTGACACACTATCTCCTGATGGCAACCTTCCGTGAAGGGCAGTTGTATGAGTCAGTTACTGCTGCATAACAAAATAGTGCAAACTTAGCAGCTGCAACTAATATTTGTCTCATGTATTCAGGGATTTGGGAGGGGCTAAACTGAGTGACTCTGCTGCAGATTCACTCAGAGGTTGCAATCAAGGTGTGAGCCAAAGTCACAGTCTTTTGAAGGCTTGCCTGGACTAGCAAATCCCCCCATGTGGCTCTTGGCAGGAGGCCTCAGTTTCTTGGCACAGGGGCTGCTCAGGTGTCCTCACAGCGTGGTAGTGGGCCACCCCAGAGTGACTCAAGATGGAGAGGCCAACAGTGCCTCTCATGGAGCAGACTCTCGAGTCATGCTACGTAACTGCCTCCTGATTCCATCTGCCAGAAGCAAGTCATTGAGCTCAGCCCAGCCCATACCCAAGGGGAGGGAATTCTTGGAAGGATGAGTGCCAGAATATTTGTGGACATACTTCAGAAGCACTGTGGCACTCATGGTCCCCATTTTACAGATGAGGAGACTGACCATCTACAAAGCAAAGTAGCTCACTCAAGCCTTTTCCTTCCTCCTTCTAGAAGGAGACTACAGAGTGTGAGTGTTACCAGGCCTGGCCTCTGTGTGTCAGCTCCAGAGCTCCCTGACAGTGACTTGCTCTCGGTGAGGCTCTGATTCCTTTCCCTCCCAACAAGGACCTAGAGGAACAGCTGGAGGAGGAGGAAGCTGCCAGACAGAAGCTGCAGCTGGAGAAGGTCACGGCCGAGGCCAAGATCAAGAAACTGGAGGATGACATCCTGGTCATGGATGATCAGAATAACAAACTGTCAAAAGTGAGTGGTGTGCAGATTCTTCGTGAGACAGGACAGGCTCCCTGTAGATGGAGGGGTTTCTGGGACATGGCACTTCTGGTCCTAGAGGCAGAGGAGTCCTGGGCCACCTGGGATGAGTTGTTGCCCTCTGCAGTAACCACTGACCACCCCACCAAGGGGGCGCCTGTTCTTGGAGCTGATATCGGCTGGGCCCATCTGTGAGCCAGGACTGTGTCAGGTGGCCTTGTCCTGGGGGCTTACACTCCAGTGACACAGCAGAAGCCACTGTGAGGAGAGCCCTGAAGGAGGAAGTCATCCTCCTATGGAGCAGAACATGAGGTGGAGGAAGGGTCTTCAGGAAAGCTTCCTGGAGGAAGTGACATTTACAGGGAAACCTGTAGGGGGAGGAAGAGGTGGAGAGAGGGGCATGGTACAGCGCACCAGCTGGCCTGTGGTAGGAATGGAAAGAGGGTCCCCTCACCTGAACACAAGTGTGGGGGACAGACTATGACGAGAGGACCAGTGGCCAGTTTGGGAAATGAAGGATCTTCTCTTTGCCATTTAAAACTCTAGGCTGCATTTGGTTAAAATGTGGGTTAGGTTTTCAGCTATTTCATCTAGAAATGACTTAAAGAAAAACACAGATTGTGGAGTAAAATGAAAAGCTAGTGCTTATTTCTCTTTCCCCCAAAGGAGCGAAAACTCCTCGAAGAGAGGATTAGTGACTTGACGACAAATTTAGCAGAAGAGGAAGAAAAAGCCAAGAATCTGACCAAGCTGAAAAATAAGCACGAGTCCATGATTTCAGAACTGGAAGGTAAAAAGAGGTTTTTAATGGGTATCTTTTAAACCAGGAAAATCAGAAAGGAAATTCTAGAGTCGTAGGTGATTCCCAGAGCAGCAGGCTCCATCCACACTCCGGAATCTGTACACACTGATCGGGGTGCTTCTGGCCAGCCCTGACTTTGTCTGTAGGGTACTGGTCCAGGCCCTGAGCACCACGGCTGGTGAACGTGCACGTGTGTCCATTTTCTCCATGCACAGTGCTCAAGCAGAGCACTTCTTGCTGGGCGTCCCCCAACTCCTAAGGCCCTGGCTTTGTTGCAGTACGGTTGAAGAAGGAAGAGAAGAGCCGGCAGGAGCTGGAGAAGCTGAAGCGGAAGCTGGAAGGTGACGCCAGTGACTTCCACGAACAGATTGCAGACCTCCAGGCGCAGATCGCAGAGCTCAAGATGCAGCTGGCGAAGAAGGAGGAGGAGCTCCAGGCAGCTCTGGCAAGGTAGCAAAGAGCACAGGCTGCATCACAGTGCACTCAGGAGTCTGGAGGCTCCCTGCCAGTCATGGTGGCTACCTTACTCAAGGTGGCCCCAGGCCCTTGGCATGGACTTTTCTAGGCTTGACCCCAGCTGGCTTCCCCAACCCTGCTCTTACCCCTAAAATCTTGCCTTTGCCTTCTTCCTCTTCCCTCCAAATGCATCCTCTTGGCATCTCCCAATCCCATGGTGTTGATGCAGCCTCTTGGGCAATGAGGCCTTTCTTGTTTACACCCCAGCTCCGAGTGCCCAGTCACCTGCTGAATCCATTTCCGTTGGCATCCTGAATGCCACATGTAAGGCTGGGGTGACCCTCCTCTCTCAGACCCCTCCCTCTTTGGTCCCTCTTTCTGTAGATGCCAGTCCCCTCCCTGGCCTCTGCTCACCCTCGTCCTCCCACACACAGCATACAGCAGCCTCAGAATCACCAGTCCCTCGGGCCAGGAATTTAGTTGTGGCTCTGCCGCCTGCCTCACGAGCACAAGGACCCAAGTTTGATCCCTGGTACCAGAAAAGAAAAACAAAACAAACAACAACAACAAAAAGAATCACCAGTCCCTCAAGAGATGTCCCACCCATTCCCTCTGTCTCCCTCTCCTCCTGCTTAGCTGGCTTCACACCGGGAATATCACGCCAGTAACAAGTCACAGAGATTCACTTACAGACCCTGGGCCAAGTACACTGCTATTCTCTTCATTTTGCTGAGGAAGGGACGGAGCAGGTCTTGTCACACTGCTTTCAAGCAGCAGAGCTGAGATTCCAGCCCCAAAGCATCCTGCCCAGCTCTCTTTTTTCCAGTCTGTCCTGCACGACAGTGCTGGGGTGATCAGTGAACTTCACTCTGGGGCTCAGACCTGCTCTGAGACTTTGCTGGTTGACTCAGAAAAGGCCGGGTTACTTGGCCAGGCCATCAGAGTCCCCATCCCCCCCAACCCCCCCCAATCTGACCATTTGATTTCTGTCTGCTGCTGCCCGTTCACAAGTGCCATAACATCAAAATGTTTCCCTGCCCTGGCCTTGGGGTCACCTTCCCTCTTACCGGTCCCTTTCTATCATCATGGTAAAAACCAACACAAGCGCCATGAACCGACACAAGCCTTCCGTGAAACCTCTCCAGGGCTCAACCTGGCTTCTCACACGACACCTTGGGCCCTTGTCACCGCCTATGCCAGGCTGGGTTCTAACATCCCAAGCAGCACCTGGGCGAGTACTTTGCATGGAGTGGCCTTCAGTCACGGTGTGGTCCAGGGAACTGCCTGGAGTGTTCAGAAAGCAGACCGTGAGCACCTGCTGTGACCAGGCAGCTCTGTTAGTCTGGGGCCAGTGCTTGGCCTTCTGTGTCACACATACATGTGCACACACACACAGGCCCTGATTTCTTTTTTGATGGTACTGGTGATTGAACCAGCCTTTGCATTGAGCTACATCCCAGACCTTTAAAAAAATTTTTTTTTAAATTTTGAGACAGGGTCTCCCTAAGTTACCCAGGCTGGGCTTGACCTTGTAATCCCCCTGCCTCAGCCTCTCGGAGTGCTGGGATTACAGGCATCCTGTGACCTGATTTTGTATCATTTTTGTCATCCCGAGCAGATCTCCAAGCTGTCCCGCAGAGCAAGGCGCAGTCCTCTGTGTCTTGGGGACATGGGCTGGACATGTTCTGAGAACCTTGGAACACAAGTGGCTGGTCCCCAACCACAGTTTCTGGCCACACTGTGCAATCGCAGGGCCGGGGCACTGGGGCCTTCATCCTGGTGGGCCTTCCCTGCAGGCTGGATGATGAAATGGCCCAGAAGAACAATGCCCTGAAGAAGATCCGGGAGCTGGAGGGCCACATCTCAGACCTCCAGGAGGACCTGGACTCCGAGCGGGCCGCGAGGAACAAGGCCGAGAAGCAGAAGCGAGACCTTGGGGAGGAGCTGGAGGCGCTGAAGACGGAGCTGGAGGACACACTGGACACCACAGCCACACAGCAGGAGCTCAGGTGAGGAGCAGGGCAGAAACGGCTACACCACAGCGAATCCCGAATCCCGGGACTCCTCAGGCCCTAGGCCAGTGGGGCGAACCTCTGGCACACGTGCCGCAGCAGGCACACGGACGGCTCTCTGCTGGCGTGCTAGCCAAGTCATCCCAGCAGCCACAGACTGGGTAACAGTTGTGTTTCCTAAACTAAAACCTTAGTACTCAGGTTTAATTGCAATGTGGGCACTTTGTGATAAATAAGTGGGTTTGGGGTTGCAGTCTGGGCACTCGGGCTCTGAAAGGTTCGCCATCACTGCCCTATACATTCACCTTCCTGGTGATGTTTTGTTTTAATGAACAGAAAGAAGCATGATTATGTTTAATCTTGATTTGTTTCACAGCAATGGTGCATAGTCGATGAGAGAACAATGGAAAAACTATAGAAATGTATATGCAGCACACACACACACACAAATTCACCTTCAGCCCCACCACGGTTAACATTTCTGAGTGATGTCTTCCTCAGACGTGTTTGTACGTGTACATCTTCAAGAGTATGTTTTTTGCTAAGCTTTAAAAATAACATTCATCAAATTAGTCTTCAATTTAAGATCCACTGCAAGGAAACAGACAAGAGCATAAAACAAGAATGGACCATCTGCCAGATTATGAATGCTGACTCCAGGGAAACGAGATCATTTATTCACTCAACACACACATGAATGTGTTTGCAGTGCATCCGGCACCGCGGTCTGTGCTAGCCTTGTGTAGCCGAGGTTTACTTCCCACACTGCTTACACCCACCTGGATGCCAGCATGATATGATATTCTGCTCCCTTTCCACCTCGCCAGTGAGAGAAAAGCACAGTATGGTAATTAAAGCCTTGGCTCAAAGTCAGACAGGCTTCAAATTCTAGATGTGTGTGGTCTGCCCGCAGCCACCCGCTAGCGAGCCCCCACTGCTGCCTCCGAGAGCTCGGGGCGGGGCGGAGGGGCGGCTGCAGCTTGACCAGAGCGCAGTGATGTGGGGACGAGAGTCGGAGAGTCGGTGTCGAGTACCAAGCCCAGCTCCCCGAATTCGACCCAGGTGCTACAAAGTACACAGACAAGGCCAATGGATGATGCTCTTGTGGTCTCCCTCTCAGTCTCCCGGGTGCCAAGTTGGATGAATATATTGCAGTTGCAAAGGAGAAACACGGCTGTAAACCTAACGTTGAGCAGTCCCTCGCTGATCTCCCTAATTTCACTCCCTTTTCGGATGAGTGGACAGTGGAAGATAAGTCCTGTCTGAGCAAGCCTTTAGTTTTCATGGAAAGAGCTTTCACAGGCTTCAGCAAATGCTTCCCGATAAGACAACTGCAAGCCTTGTAAAATATTACTATTCTTGGGGAAAATCTCGCTCTAGGACAAGTTCAGTGGATCGCCAGGCTCGTAGACATCATCGGGGGACAGTGATGATGTGGGAGAAACACACCCAGTGGATGGGAAGGGTAGTGATTACGATCCTAAAAAAGAAGCCAAAATAGAGGGTGACACTGAGCCATGGGTCCCAACTAGCAAGATCGGACTGGGCAGGAGAGAGTATCAGAGCTTACAGCACCGCCCTCATCTCAGCGCCCTGAGAGCTGTCCCCCAGAGGGCAGGTACCTGACCCAGGAAGACGTGGTCGCCGTTTCCTGTAGTCCCGATGCGGCCAACACCATCCTGAGGCAGCTGGACGTGGATCTCGCTAAAACGCCAGGTTCATGGTGCTAAGCAAGTAAACAGTGCACTTAAACAGAAAATGGAAGGCAGAATTGAAAAGTTCAAACCTCCAGAGTCAACTCAGAAAATTAATGCCCTTTGGAGCACAGAGGAGCAGCTTCTAGTAGTGCAAGGTGTCTGCAAATACGCTAAAGATTTTCAAGCTATTGCAGATGCAATTGGCGCCCAAGTGAAGAACTTCTTTGTAAACTGTAGGTGTCGGTTTCACTTAGAGGAGGTGTAGCGGGGTGGGAGGTAGAACAAGGAACCCAGGCTTCCAATGCTGAAGCTTGTACTCTAGGGGAGGAGGCAAAGAGTGCTTCTCATGTGCCTTCAGAGGAGCGCACCGACGAGGAAAAGGAGGTGTGTTGGAGGAGTCTCCGTTCTGTATGGTGTTCTGTAAGGCTCAGCGGCCGAGAGCCAGCTAAATGAGCATGGAAAGTTGCCAAGACGCTTACCAGTAACTCGTGACTCCTGAGTCATGACCACCGCTCATTTCTGATCCTAGCAGAATGGAATGGACAGTACATTCTTATATACTCTCGTTTTTATTCCAGTGTTAAGCTTTTACTAAAAAAAAAAAAAAAAAAAAAA